GATAGTCATGTAGAGCTGGCACATTCAGCCAACCGAGACGGATAGAGCGGGATAGTCCTTCCAGCATACGACTATCGTACTCGATGTCGGCAGTTGGCTTCCTGTAAATGGCTCCAACTAGACACCTCGAAGTACTAGACAATCTTGCAGAGCTCCGTATGGATTCCTCAAGATTGTTAAACTCGAGGTTGTGAACTTGGTGCACCTCCAAGCAAGAGCTTATGTATATGGCTACTCCGCCCCCAATTCCTGTTTTTCTGTCGTTGCGGAACAAAGTCATCCCAGGTAATGTTAACTCTTGGTCCGAGAACTGAGAAGATATCCAGGTTTCAGATATTCCTATCAGATGGGCCTTATTATCGTTGCTAAGTTCACGTAGTTCATCCAATTTGTTTGGTAGACTCGCGGCGTTCATATATAAGCAGTTTATGCTTTCAATTTGGAACGCGTGAGCTTCGTCCTGTTTTTCTGTATGAACCTTATGTGAATGGACAGGTAGCCCACCTATATGAGGTTTGCCGAGGTGGTAGGCCCTGTCCTTTACACGTTTTTTATCGTTTAGACAGTCCACAAGTGGAATGGTCAGCTCTAACTTGCCTTTGTTCTTGGTCCTAGCTTCGTATGGCCTATCCGGGTGCATGTGGATTCCAGGTGGCGGTCGACGTCTGTTGGCACGAAATACTTCCAGAACTGCAGTCGCCATGTGGGAAGATGGGAAGGTTATCTTCATTAGACGCGGTCTTGGATGACCATCCTTCTTGGCTAGTCTCGTCACATGCTGAGTCAGTATGTGTTTGAGCCTCAAGGACTGTTTGATGAATTTCCATTCCCTGATGTCAGAATTTGATTGAGTAGGGTCTGCATTTTCCGGTATACCTTGAACAATTATGTTTCTTCCGCGGAAAAACTCGCGAGATTCTTTATGGATGTTTCGTATGATATTGCGCTCAGAGTACGGTATGTCGGGCAATATACTTACGTTACCATCTGATTTTAGCAAGTGACTTGCTAGCAAGACGTCCTCTACGTCGGTAGCATTCTTAAGTGTTACTCGAAGAAGCCTCGGGTGATTTAGATGCTTAGAATCCTTTCCTCGAGTGAGCCGGGTGACCGTCAAAGGCTCTATTCTAGGAAGTTCGAGCTTCTTGTTCAATTCACACCAGGGCATCCTGTCGTTTTTGTCCTGCAAACTGAGAGGAAGGTCAGGGTTGTCTTTTATGTTCATGACTATGAGAGAGTCATCACGAAACGTTATTGTCGTCCCAGGTTTTCCGGTGCGTTCAGGTTTAGCACCTTGTTGTTTGGGGGTCGAAGCACGTTTATGAATCCTTGGCTCTTAGCTTTCGCTTAACTGGCTTCTGTGTCTAGTAGCAGTGAATCACCAATACCCACAGACAGTAACCTAGGTATATTAACGTAAGAAACGGAAAGAGCAATCTGTAAATCACAGTAAGATACTATCTTTAGTCCTTAAGAATGTGTCAACTTTTCGCATAAAGGACTCCTCAGAAGTCGCTTGGACTAGCTCACGCGACAGAAAATTCCAATTGGGGATTAGAATCCCTTGAGTCTGTGTAAGTAGGTTTGTTCACGAGTAGTGAGTTTAATAGGACTGACAGCTATCGCCGCACCGGAAAGGATGTCGATCTATTAGTATTAAGGATTATAAAGTCAGAATGGGGAAAAGTGAAGACAAAAAAGTCAGAATAGATAAAACAATGTTGTATGCAAACTGTATGAACAGGTTAGTCTCTTGAAAACTGATAGAGGGTAACAAGAAGTGGTGAACAGAAATGAGGTGATAATCACATAAGAATTTTAAAAGCGATAAGAATGACGATGGTGGTAATGACAAGGTTTCGTAAAGATAGTGATTGCAGAAGTGCAGTGGCCAGAGACCTGACTCCCATTAGATCATAGGAATGATTGTTATTGAAATATACACATCACCAATCCTCTTATATAGTCATCGACTTGAATCACGTTAGTGAAGAACGGAATTAAATTTGCCAAATACGAGGATGGATATTGAATATGTATAATTCATGCAGTTATTGATTTGAACAGGCAACCAGAGGGGAGAAACAGAGAGGGGAGATCAAACCAGACTGAAGAAGGCAAACGAGCCAACTCAGCCTAATCAAGTGTCAATCAATATTTATAGTCGGAACAAAAATAATCTAGAGACATGTGATGAGTGGGACAAGCAATCAACACATATACAACCATATAAAGACAATCAGAATAAATAAGCCAATGAGTGACGAGGTCAAAATTTGATTTAAGAAAAATGAATAGATTGACATGCCTGGAAGCTGTAATAAACTGTGAGGTCTTAACATAGCACATAACCTTACACTATCCCCCACAGAAACAATTATGTCTCTTAAGAGCTGCTGTGCATCATCCTCACGTCCCGAAGCTTTTCCCAGTTCATTACGCTACGTACAGATAAAGGCTAAGGGGACCAAGTTTAAAAGGAAGTCACTGATAAGCATCAACAATCGTCCACTGAAATTTCTAACATTTTCAAAGTTAACCAAAGATGCACAATAGGCGTAGAGCGGCTTGGATCCCTTCTGTCCCTCATTTCGAATACTGGAAAGAGAATTACCGAGCTTCAATTATTTTGTTACTGTTTAGAGTCTAGAGAGCAATTAAATAATTCACATATTTGATGATGAAGAGCTTGCAATCTATATGTCCTGTTTATTTTTCCAGTACTAACCTTGGTGTAACCTATCTGGTGGTTGTCACTATTGTCGTTTTGGAAGCATCTTTCATACCAATGAAGCCCTACATGTGGCTTAGCAGTTTGTCAAAGTGAGTGTCGTAGACTTTGATGGCATCTGAGTTAGTGAGGGTCCAATCTTAAATTCATGAAGTGATCGAAATTCCATGGTTAGTGGTTAACCTCCAGGACATTAAGAGGTGCTAGCTCTTTGGGTTTGATCTTTGTTTCTCGCCCAGGTGCCTATGGTACAGCACCTGGAGCATCTCTTTGCGTTGATTATGACTTAAATGAAGGGCGATTAGTTTGTACAATCTACTGATTGATACTATGGTCATTAAAGCATCATCAGATGAACACGAAATCAGTCATCATAAAATTACTCGGCCTTATGATCTTGAAGTGACTGCCGACATGTTGTTATTTCGTCCCTTGTTTTGTATTCACTGCCACACCTGGGACGTTCCATGTCTTGAATATCTAGTTCATCGCCCATGATGTCATGGGAGTACCAGGGAGTAGTGAGAACTCCAATTCTCAATTCGAACCCGAAGCATATGTTTATGGACTTCTGTTTTTCTCCACTTGACCCCCTTACTCCAATTCAGCGGCACGAAAAGCACATGTAGAACAGATACTAGTTATCGAGTAGCCAAAGAATAATTAGAGGCTCAACTAACACTTAAAAGCAAATATGAAGATCAAGTCTTTTCATATTCGATATCGCTGCAGTTGCATTAACTCGGGCACCCATATCTTGTGTTGTAAGAGGGGAAGACAAAAATAACCAAAATACCATATAGAAGCGCGAGAGCACACTATTCACGGTTGTCAATAATGAAAAACAGACAAGCTGGACACACATGACAAGACGGAAGACCTCAAAGATACTTGGTCTTGATTATCTGCTGAATAATGTTATATATTCACCACTGAACACTTTCAGATTGAGGGTATGTGGCATGATCATGGAACTATGTGTGTACCAAACACAATTAGCTTCCTCTGTAGCTCCCCGACTTTGCCATATAGCTTAGCTAACAAGGACTTCGAGCTTCCCATGAGGGTTACGATCCAGTGAAGAAACGACTGCCACGCGATCTAAATACAGACATGCTCACTACTAGTCTGATTTCTTCTATTAATAGAACGAGGGTTACCTATAAGCACGAAGCATTCACCGTATAGTTTCTATTATGAGCATCTTCAGCCACTTAATATTTCGACATTTCACTTATCATCGAAACTCGGTTCTCAATATTTCATGCTCTTATTCTCGCTCCCCTTTATATCCTGCGAGATCCTTTTGAACCGAATGTTAAATTCTTGTAAATTTATGCGGTTAGTTTAATTTCTTATATAGGGATATCTTAGCTATTAGTGCAGAAAAATAACCTGGTCGCGTACATAGCTTTATACTGTGAATGCTTAGGGTCATAAGATTTGGTTTCCAGTTGCTATAGGCCTTGTGGTTTTGAAAAAACAATAAATTTAGAACACTCGGGCAAAAGACATAGTTAAACCAGCTACGGTCTTCATATCACTTCTGTACCGCATTGTTTGTTACGGGAAAACCTTTTCACAACGGAATTAGGGATGTTGCTTGTTGCCATTTGAAATACTAGATCTCTCTGGCTTATAAATCATGTAGGTCTCCTGATACAGGTGTCTTTAAGGTAGTTCGTCAATACTTTGATTCCTCTTCCATTCAACACTAGACTGTCAAGTGGAGAAGGAACAAACTGTATGGTGCAATATGATTGGTTTGCAGAGAATGTTCAAGCTACCATAAACGTAAGCATAAGAATTCGTACATTTTTTATTCATATGAAGGAAGGATATTAGATTATCCTCGTTTGATTTTATGGCCTTTAAATATGTTAGTCTAAACCTATCACAATGACACCGAGGATAATGCTCCTGTCATCCCTGGTTTTGAGTTGTAGAAAATGTAGAAATTCGCTTCTCAATAGGTTCACTTACTATGTAGAGAAACATTCAAAAATCTTACAGACAAACTATTCTCTCACTGTTAATTAGATGAATTCAAAAAATTTATATTTATTGAAGGTGTATGAATATTATTTATGACTCTTTTGAATCACAGTTAAACGCTGTTCCAACATGACTCTGTGCATAGCTTCTGTGTACCAAGCTGCATCCATTGTGTTAATTTACTGTATACAATTTCGAATGTAAATTAATTATCTTTAATGACGTTCTAGATAATAGCATAATATTGAGTTTCGGAAATTGACCTTCAAGGTCAGTTTTAGTTCGTGCACCTTATGAAAAAGCTATGAGACAATACGAGCTTTTACATTATGATGTTTGTCACAATGTGTACCAACATAAATAAAATGAAACGCATTGAGAATTGTTGTTCACAGTTTTTCAAATGATTCCATCTTGGCTTCCAGTTGTAAGAGCTTCCGCTATCGGTTGGACACCACTGCTTCAAAGTAGATTGCCTGATGAGCCTTTGATCACTAACAAAAAGTATATAAAGGATCGAAAGATAGTAATTAATGTAAGTGGACGGAGATTTGAGACTCGCAAATCCACGCTCGAGAAATTTCCTGACACACTGCTTGGTTCTGATGAGAAAGATTATTTTCAAGATCCGGTTTCAAAAGAATATTTTTTCGATAGAGATCCGGAGCTCTTCCGTTACATTATGGAATATTATCGATCAGAGAGGCTTCATCTACCAAAGGATTATTGTGTGACTGCTTATCATGAAGAATTGTTGTATTTCGGTATCATGCCAGAAATCATGGGAGATTGCTGCTATGAAGAATATCTTGACAAATACAGGGAAAATAAGGAAAGGCAGCAGGAAGATAAGGAGGTTGTGTCAGAAGAGGAGCAACTATCAACAAACTTTAGAGACAGGTTATGGCGCGCATTTGAAAATCCGCAGGCTTCAACACTAGCAGTCGTGCTTTATTACGTGACGGGATTCTTTATAGCTGTTTCAGTACTGGCTAATATAACAGAGACTGTTTCTTGTGGCATCAGTGTTGAAACTGGAGATAATATTCCTTGTGGAGAAAAGTATAACGCCGCATTCTTTTGTTTGGACACCGCTTGTGTACTTTTATTTACAATCGAGTATTTAGCAAGGCTGTATGCAGCTCCTGCAAAATGCAAATTTATTAGATCTGTTATGTCAATCATCGATATAGCTGCAGTTTTTCCTTATTATGTTGGACTTTTTATGTCTAATAACAAGGAATTTTCAGGTGCTTTCACAACTTTGCGAGTGTTTCGAGTTTGTCGTATTTTCAAATTTTCGAGACACAGTAAAGGATTGAGGATATTAGGTTGCACATTGCGTTGCTGCGCCTCTGAATTAGGTTTTCTTCTATTCACGATAACAATGGGCGTCATTATCTTTTCAACGATAATATTTTATGCAGAAAAGTCGGAAATATCACAGTTTAGTAGCATTCCAGCAGCATTTTGGTACACGATTGTCACAATGACTACTTTGGGGTAAGTCCAAAACTTTTGTTAAAACAATCACAATATGCGATCTCAAACGAAAAGGCTTTTCTCAGTTTTTCATGGTCTTTCAACTATACGGTAAAAAGTTTTGGCTGAATAATGGATTTTTGATATTTATTCTTGTCGTTTGAGGTTGGTTGATACCTTTGATTTCAGTCAACTTGTCTTTTTGGTATTTTATTTGCAAATCCACTTAACATTTTAATTAATTTTTTCAAAATTTGGAGCAAATAGTAAAATAAGTCGAAATTACAGGAAATGTGGCTATTTAGTGCAATACTGAAGAAATATGAGGTGTGTTTCCTCTTAAACACCTTTTTTGTACAAACCACATGAAGCATATTTAACTAGTGGTCATTACCTTAAATGACAAAGTCTTGTTGCAGGTATTTTCATACGAAATAATCAATCTAAGCGTTATTGAACTTCCATGCATAGTTTAACTAGAGTTTTTCAATCAAAAGGATAGCATGGCTGTATTTTATTTTTTCCATTTAATGTTTATGTTGCAACTATGTATTGTTGAAAAACAAGTCTGCGTGGAGACTATTTTGGTTTTTCACCAAAATTATTTTGTTAATAGTATGTCCGTTTTGTCTCTAGAGTTGAATGGATGTTGTACGGCTAGTGATGTTAATAAAAAACAACAATGAATTGCGACCAATAGTCAGACTAGTTAGCAGTTTATTATAGATTCTGGGTTTTTATTCCTGCCTGCTCTACAACGTACAGCCATAAGTGTTTGGTATCCTGGGAGGGTTATAGAATTATCATTAACCTTTAAAAGTTAGCAGTGATTTGGATGTAATTAAATTAGACATATACTATCAAGCTTATGAAGTGAAACTATGCCTTTCATATTTATGTGTGTGTTACATTAGTTACGTTATTTGCTATCATCTAAAGAAGTGACTTGTACCAAGTTTAAAATCTTTAGAGTTCCAATGTTTTACTCATTTAAATATGAAGATATACCATTTCACTTTCAGAACTAGTTCACGCAATGCCAAATTTAATTAAACTTATCAAAGCTCAGCCTGTTAATGGTTCTTTCAAACTGAATACCTCTTAATTTTTATACGCAAAATTTGGGTTTTAAATAATTTGGAATGGTATTTTGTGAAGTGTTGATGTTTTTTGACACTTAATATATGAACTGGTGTCAAAAATGATTCCATCAGCAACGGGTTATTGATTATGGGTTACAATTTTAGTCGTGCTATTTCAAGCATTTTATTCATGGATTAACCTCTTTAGTCAAAGTTCATAATACCGAAATAACGTTTGTTGTTGTACGGTCAGATCTTCAACAACACTTAGTTTTTTTAACTTTGCATCAAAATTTAAGCTTTGATTTAGATTAAATTGTTCACTAGGTATGAGTCTGTTTGTAGGTGTTATGGGTGATTGTAATGCTCGGGTTTCTAAACTGAAACAGTATAAGTTTTGAACCAGTGACTTAGTGGCTGAAAATCGAACGCCTTAGCCATTCAACTATCTCATCAAAGTGTAAAATATATTTGTTGATAAATGGACTTACTTATGTTGAAACTTTCGTTTAATCTTCATGTAAGCATTTTTGGAATATTCTTTGTTAGAGACTTATATATCGAATTGTAAAACCTTGATTTGCCAACCTCAATTTAATTTAAATTTAGATTTTTACTCAGCCTATCAGTAATGGCCGCATTATAATAGTTTACTATATGAGCGGAGTTTCTGAGTCAAAAAGCATTCCGAATATCTGTTTGTGTTTAGATTTGTAGACAATCATGACAGTTTAACTTTTTTAAGTTCTCTATTAATATTTTAAAATAGGTTGCCGCTTAAGTTGAGGACAACAAAAAATGATACCAATTGAAAAACGGGTTCACAAGGTAGAACAATGGTAAAAATTATTTGAAAGCACTTTTTTCAAATTTACTCTTCCCTGCTCGATAGGATTTAAGCAATATTATTATATTGTGTAGTGATAAAGGCCTTATTTTGTACTACCCAAAAACCTACGACGTTTATAAAAGACCTCAGATAGATATCCAACAAATTGGTGGCAAATTTGCGTATTTTGATGTACCTATCTTTGTTTTCCTCCCAATTTTCTCTTACTTCCGACAAATTAGGGTGCCAAAAAACTAAAAGTGTGATATCTTAACACGGTGGATGTATCACGTTTATGTACGCAAGTACATGAATTCAAATTATGACCTCCCGTATAGTTTAGAGCCATATGGTAGATTTCTTGGTAAAGGTAGTAAAACGATTTTTTACTAGATACATTAAAATAAATTGAAGTTGCTACTAACGATCAAGATGCATTTCCATCCTGTCAGTCTAAAGACAAGGTTGACTTCCAAACATGTTTCTTTGTTTTGAAATTTAGTGTAAATGTCTACTCCCGTCACAACCAAAATATCCAAACGTTCTAAGTGTTGCAATGTTGTTTAGTATTTTGTGTGTTTGTGGAATGTTGTTTCATCCAATCTGTCGCACGTAATGTACAACTTAGCACAGCAATGCAGTTTTATATGGAAATGAATATACCCAGCGGTACTACAAAATTTAGCCACACAACAGAGCAATTTACAGAAAGCACAGGATGAATGGAGACAAGATTCTTTGCCATGACTTCTGATTTCTTGTATTCTGCGAACAGAATAGAATCTTGACGGTCACTGTAATATAAAGCGTCTACTTTAAGCTTAGTGTCGATTGCCTCAAAGGTATTCGATATAAGATAGTCTACAAAAAGTCGAACGAGCCTCAAGTAGAACTGCTAATGAAATATTTACACCTGCGTTTTAAAATTCGCATTTATTTATCTATGTCGTAATCAGCACAGAATACGAAGTTATGTAGTCAGACCTTTCTTTAGACGCAGCACGGATATAAAAAATATGGTATTTGATCTGCATTTCTGAGGCCTTCATTGTATCCGAGTCCTTATAGAACGGTCAGAAAATCAGGTCCAGATTTAGTATTACTGAAAAACTTGGTTAATTTTGCAATCTTACCTGATGGCTGAAAATTTTATTGTAACAACAAAAAGTATGCAAATTACCGTTTGTGTCCTCCATCTTCAGTTAATTGTGATATTTTAAATTTTAACTTTTTAGTTTGCTAAGATGATGCCGAATATGCAAAAAATATTTTAGCATTAAAACTAAGTTATTAACACATCAATCATCTGGTTCTTTCATGAGAATTTGACTCACATAGAACAATCCATTTTATTAATCAACAACTCTTCTTCATCTCTTCGTGTCAAGAAGTCGCTTTCGGAATTTTGACTTCAGAACCTGAGTGAATAACTAGAACGGTTATTTGTGTACAACAACAGCTTTTAACGACCTGTCATCTTTTGTTGTAAGAAGTGAAAATTGATAAAGAATTCCCTTACTAGTACGCACAACTGGATGGTCACTAGGTTTTAGCAGGTGTGTTCTTGAAAGCAGTAAGAAGTCTTGGGGGAACTTACTCTGTGTATTTTGACTCAATAGACTGAATGTTTGAAAACTTGCAGTTAAATTTACTCCAAAGAGGATAAAACTGTTTTTGTCTTAATATTTTTCATTTAGTTAGTCAATTTTGCACAAATTTAAAATCCATTCTTGATTTTGTAGTAATTCAATTGCGTACCGGCTTTTTTTAAGGGCCACAGGTTTTATTTATTGTTATACCGACAATATAGGGAGCTTGATTTATTCAATGACAATATAAACTTGAAGATCATAAAGGCAAACCCAAAATATATACCGCCTATTGAAATAAAGTAACGACGTTCTAAAAAATTAGATTGTGGAGTTTTATTAATACTAACGTCTTTAAGGAATATTTATTGTTGATAGCTTCAGGTAGTCAAAATTTTCTTGCTGTACCAATAAATGCTGGCATTTAATTGTTTATCAGCATTTAGGTAAGCAAACAATAAGAGGGTAACTTGTTTATCTTAAATGCTTTCTTGTAGTTCGAGAATTTTGTTTGATAAGCAACATTTTGGCTACCTTCCATTTGCGGTTGACTGTCTCATCCTGAATAGTAATGAGTTTATGAGATCTAAGTAGATTAGTTATGTATGTCACGAAATTTGAAAAGGACTCCGTCAATATCAGCAAAAACTATTAGGTCGAGTAGTTTAGAGATCAAGGATTAAATCAACTACACTATCAATATAGATGTACATAAAGGAGTGATAGAAAACTATGAACACTGAACAATCGAATCTCGGATCATCAAGATAAACTAATATGACTTATGAAAAGTTTCACAGCCCAACTTTGTTTCATTTTTTTTCTCTACGGAAAAGTTGGGAAGTGTTTAAGCCTAACTCATTTGGATTACAGAGCTCAGCATCCCGAAAATCATTTCTGATCTAAAATTTTTCTAGCAAATTTTTATAAGCAAAACATGCATTTATAATCATGAAGTGATGAGCAAGAGAGTTGTTTAATCGATTGTTTTATAGTCAACTAAGTCGTTCAAAACATGACATTAACTCCTTCTGAATAAAAGAAATATAATATATCTTACGGTAGGCATAAAAAATCTCATATTTAAGTATTTTTATTCTTATACATTGAACAGGAAATAGTTTATAAGTCATGAATATGTGCTAGACATAACCTATACATCTATGTGTGAACGTAAACGAACGGCTTATTTATATATTATGTATTTTTAAGTGTTTAACTTTCCGTCCTTCTATCAATATATATAAAGGCATACACACTAAAAATATACACACAAGGTAACAGTGGGGTAATAATTACAACAAGTAATAAAAATAAAGTACAAATTCTATTTCATACAATAATTGTGTATTAGTTACATTATCTAGTTACTTATTCTTTGTAATTTACAATAAAAATAAGAAATTTTTTTACAAATTTAAATACATTAACAAAGTGTATATTTATTTATTTAAAATTAATAATAAAATTATTTACCGTTACTTGATAAAAGGATTTCATACTGTTTACTATCAGTTCAAT